TTATAATTCATTTTGAAAATAAATTGACTGAAAATATTTTTGTTGTTTAAAGCAATGCTGCAAGCAAGCAAACTTAAAATATAGAGTTTACTGATGTAATAAAGTTTATCAGAAAATTATGTCAATTCAATGTGTTTATCTTATTTCTTGGTAATTTCCTTAAGGAGTAGATCAGGTGAATATTGATCGCTACAAATTCTCAATGGGTAAAACACATACTGCTACAAAAAATTAGTTAAAATGATATTCATTTCTTTTGTAAACAGTTAAATCAAAAAAAACAAAGTCGAAGCTGAATAGTTGAAATTTTTTTTTAAGATTAACTACTAAATAGTTCTGTTGCTTTAAAAATTAAAGGTACTTGTGCAATTTGATTTTGCTTTTAACATTACATTTAATATGGCAGTAATATTAATAAACATTTCAACATTAAGCTGATTTGATCAACTGGTCAATGAATTCTACAATAAGAACTACTCAAAATATCCATAGATTGGAAATTTGTTAAAAATTAAACTTTCTATAAAGTTTCTTAACATTTTTTTCAGTGCTGCAATTGTTTGCAGCTTTTGCGCGTCATACATCTATCACAAAATATTTGAAATAGATCTTCTAGAACTTTGTAAAATGTAAAAAATTTGCCATAAATACGTATGTCTAATATTTTTTTCTTACAACAATAATTTATATTACATGATTAAATTACATGATTAACTGGTGTCAAAATGATATTACCATTTGAAATTGACTACTAAAACATTGTATTATTCAAAATAGGCTAAGTTACAAATGATATTTGGAAAAAGACCTTAGTTTTTAAGACTTTAAAAGAATCTAAATTTAAGCATTTTATTTTATTTTGTTTTTTTTTTTCAGTTTATTAAGAGCAGACAAGTAGAGAGAGAAGTGACTTAGTTCAAAACTATGACTATTTATTTGATTAAAAAAAATCTTGATTAAGCAAATATGCTTGCTTATAATGAACTAAAAGAACTTCACAATTAGGTAGGTAAATAATAAGAAAATTTGCAAATTTCTGATAAAAATTTCGATTTAGCTTACCTTACAAAACATAATTTCACTATTCATTTGTCTTCGTACTTGATGTACATAATTATAAGCCATAGGCAATGTAATACATATGGACAAAATGGCCACAAATGAGAAGCTAGCGGCTACATATCCAACGAATGTATAGGCCTTGATCCGACTTTCGATCTCCATTTTGGCCCTCATGAAAAGTAGAAAATATGATAATTTTCCTTTCCGGAAGTAGAATGAATATGCTTTACTAGCAACCTTTTTATATATAAGTTTCACCAGTGCGTAAGCAATGAATACTTAACCGGTTTTAATATCACAAACTGTTAGCTTAGTCATTCATGAAATGCAGTACTCTCGTTTAATTCCCTCTTGTTTTGCTTAATTTATGCAAAATGAAAATGGAAAAAGCAAGTAAACACATGGTAAACAAGCATCAGTTGCCGAGAAGAATTTTTGCTTTATTTATATCCTCAAGGTATGTATGGTTTAATAAATTATGATAAAAATAAAAGGTCACCTACGTCTACCTGTCAGCGCTAATAGAACTACCAAATTTATAATGTTAAAAATAGCTTGCAAAATTGAGACTGGAGAAAAAATTTCTACAAGCCTTTTTGAAAACCTTCAATTTGAAACGTAAATTGATTGCATTCAATAATTTTTGACAAAAGTATTTTCTGCAGTTAATGATAATTTTTAGAAGTCATATCAAAATTCATATTCAACTTTCAACTTAAATAAAAATGCTTAATTCTGCTATTAAGTGAAAAAGTCTATTTCTATTATGATATTCAAAAAATTTGTAAAAAAGTCTTCTTGGCACTTTTACTGCACACTTTATTGTTCAGAATTGTTTTTGCATCAATATGAATATATTGTTTTTTACATTTATGCTTCCAAATTTCAAGTTTATTCGATAAATTTTTATTAGATTTAGAAAGCTGAATTTTGCTCAATAATAATATTTATTGCGTGTTTGACAAATATTTAGCTGCATTGTTTGCAATCACTTTTTTAGTGTGATTTCTATTGATACTAAATCCGTCGTAATTTTTATTCTTGATTAAGATAGTTTTGTAAAACTTTTAGAGAAATACCCAAATAGCTGAACAGTCTGTTAAAATATTTAAATTCCTTGCTAAAAAGAATCTCTGAATAACTTTGTAAGTTTTGATTTTTGTGTTCGTTTTTAATCCAGAAATAGCATACAGTACAATGGTATATTAGTTGATAATTGAGTAATCAATTTATAAAGTATACTTTTTAGTAACTGGTTTGTTTTTGATTTGCAAATGATAAGATAAATATATGGATCAGTTAATACATTTGAGTACAATTGTTATTATATTTTAAACTAGCATATTTTTGCTTTTCTGTTAAATTAGTATTGTTTTTTTAAAATGTTTTAAAGAACATAAAAACTTGATTTTTAGGTCATCTGTGCCTAAGATATCTAAAAAACTAATAGTCTAAGATATCTAAAAAAAAAATAACTAAATTTCAAAAACTTTGAAATTTTTTTCAACAGTTGGAAAACGTGCTTACAGTTCGTACTGCTAAATTATAATGATTATAATCGACATTTGAATTAATATAACGTATCAAATGAATAGATGTGAGGTAAATGCTTAACAATACAATTCGGTGCATAATGATTTCTTCTAATTAGACAAATCATTGCAAATTATTTTAAAATTCAGCATTTTTTCTTCTTACAGCATTAATATTGTATTTTCCATTATGGGCAAAGCATTCAACTCCAATGCATTATTAAAATGCAAAATATTGGAATCTTTTAAAGTTGTAAAAGTTTGAGAAGCACGAAAAATCATAACATACGAAGTTACTTAAAATTTATTTCTTTGCATTGATAATAGCATGCAGGCATGATAATATTAAATCTGTAAACAAATGTTGCAAAACTTCACGCAGAATTAATTTGATCAGAATGCAAAAGTCCCGTATTCTTATTTCGATCGGTTGCTTGCTAACCTGTTAAGTGATTGAAATTTTCGTCTCTCAGTTAACGCATGTCACCAGTATTGCCTATTTCTATAAAAGTTTGATTCATTTATTTCTTCTGATTCTTGCACTTCATTCCGATACTTTAGTTGCTAGTTCAATATTTTTAATACTATCATTAAAAATTTTGATAGCAAATAATAGAAATATTTTAAAACCTTGTGAACTAAGCAAGAAATTTCAACTTTAATAAAAGCAGCACTTTGTTTGGTCTGCTTTTTCTTTACAGCGAAAGAAAAAATGAAATAATCATAATAACGTGTATTCAAACTCAATACTATTAGTTAATTGAAAAAAATCGCATCTGTTGTTTCTGTGCTAGTTTGAAAGTAACTTCTTTTTCATCTTTTATATCTAAAGTTTATTTTTCACTGTATACAATTGATAGAAACTTTATTGAGTTATTTATTTTTCGTTTTAGAATACTTTTTACTTTTGATGTATTTTGTACATGTTTTGCTCGAAGCAGTAAATATGTGCGACCATGTATACTATACCTACTTAATATCTAATTTATACTAGTGAAAATTTGTGGATGCTTAGAAATTCTATTATTTCAAGGTTTACATCATTCGTATCATTTATTTTTATGTGCTATACTTGTTTTATTTGTTCATTACAAAACAATTGATAAAAACTTTATTGAGTTATTTATTTACTTTTTTAAAATACTAATTTTTATTAATTTTTTTTCTACTAGAAATGTTATATGACAGCAGTTTTTTACCTATTTTATTTCACTTTTATACTGAGGTATAATGCAGCAATAATAACTAATATGAACTTTAATAAAGGCAGTACTTTGTTTGGACTGCTTTTTTTTGACAGCAAAAGAAAAAATAAATAATTATAATAACATACATTCAAAATAAATTTTCAGAAATTTTTTAATAGTTTAATGGATTAACAAATTTTGAAGGAAATTCAGACTGGAAGAATTAACAAAAACTGATTTCCTAGAGCATAACCTGAACTTGGAATAAATTAAGAAGCAGTAAGGACTTGTTATTTGTATGGTAATATCAATTTTCTGGGTCGAACTTGCTGCTTATTTTGATTTCTCAACTTCAACTATAACAAATAATGCTAATAGTATACAATTTCACAAATCATTCTGGTACCTTCTAAAAGGTTTCTCACATTAAAAAAAAAAGTTCTGTGGGAATCATTTGAAGCTTAATGAAATAAAAGCCTTTTTAACTAGGTCTGAAGATTAAGATACATAAAGAGCATAACAATTTCGAAAAAATTTGCACTGAGAGTGAATTCAAGTATTAAATCATAAAGTTTGACTGATTAGTAATTATGATGACGATAAACGATGAATAACTTTCATACTAAATAGATAATAACTTGAGTTTTCGATTTGACTTTTATAAATTAATATGAGATCAAAATAAAAATAATATTTGTTGTTACTATGAAAAATTAAATTGGACAAATAATTTAACAAACGTTAACGTTGAGTTGTACTGAGTTGTAAAGTATTTGAACAATTTCAACACTAAAACAGTCAAATCACATTATGATTCTGAATAACTTCGATGCCACACTCAATAAATCGGAATTTTGAGAATAAAAAGTTTGGAGTTTTATTGATTAAGGAATGTAGTTTAACTATGGCACTTAATTTGCTATTAGGCAAACAAGAAAAAAAACAAGCTATATTTAATAAATGCAACATTGTATTTGATGATATTAGGAATGTTATGATAAATGTCAACAAGTTTGTAGTAAAATGAAATCACTTTAGTTTTAAACACTCGTATTCAGACCTAAAAGCTGTGCATGGTCATTATTAATTTGGTCACTACTAACTCCGGAATGTGCTGGTACAGGTGGAGCTGGAGAATTAGGCACTGATAAGTTGTAAGTACCAATAGAAGCAGTCCTGAAAATTGTGTCACAATTAATTTAATTTATCGCAACTTGAAAATTTTTAAAATAATTAATTTTTAGAAAAGAAATATTAGCTTATAGCGATATTTCACTAAAATATTGTTAGAACAAAATAATATTTGTTAAAAAAAAATAAGAATTATCCAGAAAATTACTTATTATTCCGAAGAACAGCAGTAGTTTTGGTTGGAGTTGAAGGTCTCCTTAATAAATTGGTAGTCGATTCTCGATATTGTTCATGATATGGAATGCTGCTCTCTAATGAGTGATATTTGTCATTTTCATTACGATATACGACTTTTGAATCTATATTGGGAGCAACTTTAATTGCTTGAGTACCTGCACTTCCTCGGTACTGTAACTCATTCTTGTTACTATGCAACATACCATTTGTTTCACTTGACATTGAATCTGTCCTTGTCTTCGTAAATGGCTTAGTTTCCGAAGACTGCAAAAATAATTCTTTTGGAGGAAAAGAAAAAATTACTCTTTTCAAATTTTTACAATAAAAATAATAAAAATGAAAAGATTTACCCTCCACTCCCGGCTTACCATAGAGCCTCGTACTGGTGTTTTGTACAGTGATGAATTTTTCTCTTCTACTTCTTGTCTTTTTTTTTGCTTCAGAGCCCAGCAGCACAAAAATACAAGCACTATAGTCTAAAAAAGATTTTTTCGTTGCTATTATCATTAAGAAGCTATAGCATCTTTTTTAATCACATTTTGAAAAAAAAAATTTTTTAATGCTATAAAAGTTTAAAAAAAGTTCCTAAACATACCATTATAATACCAATAGTCAAAAATATAGCAGTGAGCCATTTAAATAAATTATCTTTTTCACGTGAACGACACCATGGTTGTGAACCTTTGTTCCATTCAAAACGGTAGTTGCGTGGATCGTTGTGATCATAAATGGCAGTACCTGCAATTTCTTTTTGTGAGTAAAATGAAAATACTGAAAATTTAACTCCTTCGAAATTATTAATTTCCTTTTAAATCAATTTCTTCATTAATATGAACATTTTATACAGTTTAAAACAGAACTGCCCCACATTTATATTCATAATCGCCTTTGATCCAATGTGTTTGGAAGCAGTCAAAGCGTGCTACATCACCTTCCAAATAACCGGATGATAAAGCCGGCGTTTTCATTAAATATTCTGGATATTCAATCATTATTGGTCCACAACTGTTATCTAAAATAAGCAAACTTTTGCAGTCAACTTTAAGACTTTTTCTAAATTATTAATTTGCAAAGCTTAACTAAATACAAAACGATCAACTAAAGCAAAATTAATTTACATTTGCCTTAATGTGAAATTCTCAAATAATTTACAATGTCTTGAAGCATGAATTCGTTCTGTTGTGAATGAATTCCAATTATTTTGCGCTTCAATACCCAGTATACGTGCATTGAAGAGTGTATAATCATTTAAACATGGAACAGAGTCCCCACATTCCTGAATGATCTGACTGGGATTATCAGGACAATAATTAATACCATATTGCTGTTGTAATGAATTCTGAATTGGTTGCCAATTAGCTAAAATAAAAAAAATACTTTTGAGATTAATACAGAATTGATAGAATTCTTGCAAGATTTTTTTTATATCACAAAGTTTTAGACAAACTTTGCTCATTCATTTGAAGATCCCGACATGTTTGCAAACGTTGATTGAGCATTTGTCCAGTCATTGGTACAAACCGATTCATACCACTAGAATAAAAATAATCAAATTAATACAAGTTTAAGTAATTTAATTGTTCCGAAATAGAATCAAAATATTATATGATGTTAAAAGCTGTGATTTCAGCGTTTATTTATCAAATTATTCTATTACTAGAATGAATCGCAATATTTTATACAAAATTTTGCATTTTGCAACTTTTTATCTGGTATCTCACTTTCTATTTTCATACTTTTAACTGATAGCGCACACAAAAGTGTAAGAAGAAAAGCTTTTTATTCATGAAATGAACCTACGATTCATATTCTGCAGCAGTTTTATAAATTGGTTCACTCTTTATGTGCACTTCTGGAAAAACTTCAAACTTTTTGTCGATATCTAAACTTGTTGTAAACATATTATCTGTTGGCATATTCTGATTCAGGGTACCAGCCATGGCTTGATTTGCACCTGGCTCACCTGTTCCCGGAATAAGATCTAAACCATAAATACTTTTAGCTCATTTATACAAAATTTACACAACATTTTTTAATATTTATTTTTAACTACTACTTTTCACATCACTTGGATAAAAAATTACACAAAAGTCGAAGAGCAATCTCTTGAATATATTCTCTTCATTAAATACTGAGCTTGTATAGAACGTGAATTCTAATATATACAAAAATTACAATTTGAAATGATTTGCTGACGAATTCCTTCGGCATTAACATCATTTAGGCTCAAACCCGATGCATGAGAAGCAGATGACTGATCTGGAAATGGTCGCATTAAACCAGATACACGTGGAAGATTATATCTTGTGCGTAGATCTTGTTCTCGAGTTTTATCACCATCCGGACGCTGCAATAAATTAAAGCTTATATTTTCGGTTAAAAAAGCTACATTTGGAGATTTATTTTTCAGTGCTTCTTAAATTAAAGGTTCAAAACATATTAATAAAAGCTGTAATAGTTCTTTTTTCATCACCGCTAGAATGAAACTCACCACACCATATTGTGGAGGCACACTAAGTTCAATGTCTAGTAAGCCCATGCTTTCCTGATACATTGGTAAGCGATCTATATCAAGATTATAAGACTCCCGAATGCGAATTCCTACTTGTGCCTCTTCCAAAACTACATAAATCTCTGGTTGACCTCGTTCTACATTGTTCACGTAGACCATTACTCCTTAAGGTATTAAAGTAAAAAAAAATTCATAAGTCACAAAAATCAGCAATAAAATTACTGTGATAAATTAACTGGAAAAAATTCATGAATTCTTCAGTAATTTAAAGACTAAAATCAAAACGCTATTAATCGCAACAATTATAAAAAAATTGTGCGAAAATTTGAAATTCTATTTTTTTTTCAACCACACTAACAAATTTTGACTTCAATCTTATACAATATAGTTACCTCGGAATCTCTGAATTCTCATCACATCAAAGTAACGAAGAATATTGCCAACAATAATGCTCGTTCGATATCGGAAACGACGAGTATCTTTACGTGCTACCACGCATACGCGATCAGTCCCGGTTGCTTCAATAGCTATTCCAGTAATAACAGTAGCATTGGTTGGCTGTACCAAGTTTGCCTGTCCCATATAACGTCCAAGCAAACCTTTAAAAGTATTTTTCTTCTAAAATAATCTAAATATATTAAAAAAATAAACTAAGAAAATAAGTGTAATTGATTTAATGAATAATTAAGAAGACTCAATCGAAATATTTATTCATTCTCAACGATATTTTTAAACAAGCAATCCAAAAAGTTTACTAAAATCAACTCTTCGGTTCGGATAGCGTTCCAGTCTTGCTTGAATTCGTACTTCTGGTGTTGTTAAAGTCTTAGGTATGTACAAAAGTGTGAAAACTCCCGGCTCATCAAAGATAAACTTATCATTATCGATAGTATTAAAACTTAATCCTCCTAAGGCTTTTCCTGTAATTCAAATTCAATAAAAGCTTTTAAAAATTAATAAATTTCTTGTTTTTTGCAACTTATGAATACAAATCAAGCATAACATATTTAAACTCATCTGATGAATGCAACACCCTGTTGGCAAATGATGATTACATTATCGTCTTGGAATATGTAAGAACTTTTTAAAATAAAATAACTATGTTTAGATATAAAATTGGATGATAATGTGAGATATGAACTATAAAAATAATATAGTTAAAAAGTTTTAAAAATTATAAAACTTTTTACCAACAGCCGGTGGCTGATATTGTTGGCATCCACTGCTTGGTCTTCGCCAGTAGAATAATTGACAACGAAATTGTGCAAATTGACAGCAAAAGAAATATGGCATATAATCATGATAAAATACAGATAAACCTGGTACCTAAATTCAGTAATAACTTTTTAGTATTTGGCAGTAATAATTACATAACAACAATACAAATGACGAATTTTAACAGATTTTGAGATAAATAAATCAAATAATCTCAAATTTAACTTATCTGATAACAGCTGGTTTGATCCTCTAATAATGTACTAGAGCATTTTCAAAAATTTTTACAAAATTTCCATAGAAATTTAAATTTCTTACCTCAAATTGTCCAATATATGGATCAGTACCAAATTCATAGGCACGTAATGGAAAACCAGGATTATACGGTGTCTCTTCAATTACTTTGATTACAGGTTGATAAGCTGTTTGCATCAATTTTCCTTCTTCATCATAACAGCATACCTGACCATAATGCGTTTGAAAGCGTCTATAATTTTTTATTAAAAATGTAAAATATTCAAAAGATTTAACTAATATTAACTTCAAGTTTTTAAACAAATCAAAATTTTTATTATGTAATATAACATACGCAGTTTTTTCGCTTCCATAATCCTGACCATTGCCAGCATATGAACCGTAAATATTTTGGGCACTCATATAACAATTTTTTGCACCAATCATTGTTTGACAAGTAATATCACGGAATACCTGGAAACGATAGAATTAATAAAACAAAAATTAACGAACAATTAATTTAAATACCACTTCTTTTTTAAAATTTACACTTTAAAATGAATTAGATTAACTTCAATAAATTGCATTCCATCAGAAGAGCTCTGAAAGTTCATAAAATGCTGCTGTCTATGACTTTAGCTTTCATTTCTGCTCTGATCATAAGCCAGCCTTATTAGAGCAATCAAGAGGAAAAAATAACTTATTAATATGTGGGAAACAAAATCAAAGATATTAATTTTTTTTAGAACAAATAAAGTTGAAATCTTAAAAAGAGTGGAAAAAACAATTCTTATTTCTTAGAGCACACCAAGAAAAAGTATTACAAAGAATAATAGAAACAGTCTTCAAGTACACTACAGCAACACAAATCACCGAAGCTAAATATATCATTAATACTTTATTATTTTGTTAACTTTTACTCTAATTGTAATAAGCTTTCACATCAAAATATTAATTTCATATATATTTGTATATTATTTTCAAGCAACACAAATTTTTACAGCTGTATGCGAAGTTATAAAAGGCGATTTTACCTGAGAACAACGTGGATGAGGCATAAAACGACCAATATCTACACGTGCTTGACTTTCAACACACGGGCAAGATGCATTAGTTTCTGTGTCACGTATGAAATTATATTGAGCACCATCTTCCGCAAACCTTAATTGCATTATTTCCTTAAGAAATTTTTTTCAAATACAGTAGGCATAAAAATTTTATGTTCCCTTAACATTTCAAGAAGTAAATTTGATGTATTTATACCAATCATGGCACATTTCCTTTGCTTTTTTAGATACAAATTGTTTCCGAGCTTCAGCATCTTGTTGAGAATAGGATGATGTAGTAAATTGTGGATTACTGATAGTCCATAACCAATGGATTGATATAGGTGGTGAGACTAATCTAAATAGATCAAAACTTAACTGAACATATCTAAATGAAAAAATAGATGTTTTGAGATCATATGAAGCAGAAATAAACAAAAGTCAAGCTTTATGATATAAAAAACAAATTGGAATTTTTCGTATTTGAGCATGAAAAATATCATTTCTGGTTGAAAGTGCATTATTTATTATAATTTATATTAGTATCTTTTAGGAAGAAGGAATCAGTGACCCCGAAGGAAGAATTGTCAAATATTGTGAAGTATCCTCATGAGCCATAATTGGTGCCAATTTCAAATAGCCAAATCGAAATGAATAAAGAGTATTCATGCGTTCCCATTCAGTTAGGTACCATTTTTCAACCTTTAACGATACATTGAAATATGATAATAAGTCTTTGAAATTCATGAATCAGTTATTCCATGAAATTATTTTTTTTCATAATATAAACATAATAGTAATCCTTTTGAATAATTTAGAATATTTCAATGTTACCTGATACAAATTGATTTTTTCTTCTTGAGGTTTCCAGCGATAATCTGGTGAATTTCTATTTGAATATGTAGATAAGCGACATAACACTCGATGTTCTGGACGAAATTTTTTGATCTGGGATAAAAAAATCGAAATTATATAAATAGACACAAAATATTGTTAAAAATCTTACAAAAAGAAGGCAGTTTGAAAACTCATTCAATCCAATAATTTTTGTTTAATTAAAGTACCTGATCATCTGCAGCCTCTCTGTAGCCAATAACATATAGACCGAGTTGAACAGAATATAACTGATCATCACTTATCCGAATGCCATGATCTTTATAATCGAGTTCTGGATTAGTAAAATTCCTTGGATACCATGATACTGGCATAACCTGAATTTTTTTTTGATACCAATCATTCTCAATTATCAGTTATATTTGTTAATGTCGTTGTTTTTTAGAGTATTTTAGTGTGCATAGATTTTAAATAAATTTCTTACTGGATGAACTATTGGATTTTTAAACCATTCGTATACATTCCCTATATCCAAACGCATTGGATCTAATGTTGGAGGTACTGAAATATAAGGAATCTTCTTCAAATGATCAAATAATAATTAGAATTCTAAAAATCAAACAGTAAAAATATCAGTATCTTTTTCAAAAAAAAAGATGAGAGAGTTTAAAAATTTTCCAAAGGAATAATCAGTTTTTGTTTCTTAATTTTTTTAGTGCTAGACTTTTTTAGAACTGAAATAAAATTTTAAAATGATTAACCAAAGTAAATATAGCCAACAAATGCTTTCTCTTCTGAATTTGATCCTGATTGTGGTTGAAAATATACTGTTTTCGTGCCCCAATCATAAATTTTTGGAAGATGACACCGAGCTATTGCTGAATTTATTACTATACATGACGCTGTTTGACGTTGTTCAATCATTAAAACGTAAGTTTGACTTCGATCCAGGCATAGAGCATTCACATCTACTGTTGTTTCACCTAACATATTTGCTATGTTTGGATAAATGAGCATAGGATCTGAAATTTGTGTAATTTCTTTTTTCACTAAAATGATAAATAACATTTGATATTTTCTTATTTTAATGCTAATTAGTTACCTAAATTGTTATAATAAACTGAAAATTATTTCAAATGAATTAAATAAAAAAATTTCCTTCATTCCAAAAGAAATGTTTGTTTTTTATTAGTTGAAGAAACTACAATAATGTTGTTTTTTTGTGCAGAATAATTATACTTTTTTTCTGAAGTTTTAAGTTTTATTCAAATTGAAAATTCATACTTACATGTGCCACCTGTTTTGTTGGAACAACCAGCAGGTCGAACAACATCATCAACCCGAAACATATAACGTCCACGAACTACATGTGGCACAGCTGAACGTTGAGCCAGTACGGTCGGTGTATTTTTATACATGAATGTTGGATCTACCGGTACGCTACCCGTATGATTACCACCATTAAACAAAGCCTAAATAAGGCTCATTAAGAAAAAAATTGAATTTTTTTGTCATTCGAGTTCTACAGAATATAATTTTATTTTACCTGGCAACGGCCACTTCTGGAATTCATCCGAAAATCTGCAGCGTCAAATCCAAGTTTGTCGTAATTTAAAATTACATAGCTCAATCGACCAGGCTTAAATTAATTATTTCCACAATTTTCAATTACCAGAATTTGATTTTATAATAAAATGTTATGCTTCAAGCAGGAACTGAAAACATTTTTGAACGTTGCATTTGAAAACGATAAGGCCATTTTAAGAATTTTTAATTTTATCGCGGGAGAAGTATCTAATCATCACTTATTTTAAAAATATTTGTGAGCTAATCTAAAAAGTAGAGGTATTTATGCTCCAACTATGGTGCCAGAGTATTCATAATGTGAGCTAAAAGACGTATATTAAAATGGAAGTATAATTATCATTAACTTGTCATTTTCATCACATACTCATGCAAATCTTGTAACATTTTCTATAATATTTTCTCTGTTATAATTATTGTTGGTATTGTAATAAAATGCAAATAATTTAGTGTCTTTTGGTAAAATCGAAAAATTTAATTATATAGATCAAATATAATCTCACTTGATCTGTAAGCCAAATTGCTTGGTAGGTAGATAGTTGACCTGCATCAATATCTGAGCGACCAACAACTGCTGATGCAGTATTATACCAGGTGACTACCAGTGCTGCATCTGCACGGAATGCTGTTGCACCAGCAACTCCTTCTAAAAATTCCACCTCATATATAAAATAATATAATTTACATGAATAATATCTGGAAATATGATCAGGAGTTACCTTGAAGCCATCGCATCATTTCATCCAAAAAATAATCACTATTTTGATTACAATGCACATAAGAATCCGATGTACTTGGACAAGCCTAAAATTGTTATAAATTTCTGGAATTAAGCCATTATTGTTTAACTTAAGAAGTAGCAATTACATTAAAATGCATTATTTTATGTGACTTACTTGACTAGCTGGTTGCCCAAAGAAGGCTGATTGTTGCACAGTACCACCATAAGGCATGTTAACATTATTACCACGACCGAATAACGATTGCCTTAACATGAGGCGGTAATAAACACCAGTTTTAAGTCCAGGACTTGGATTTTGTACAATCTGAATGGTTCTTCTGTATATATTTTGCTTTTCATAAATAATCTGCTAAACTTAATTATTAAAACTTTTTTATTGCACTGTAATACAAATAAATTGACAGCAGCTTAAAACTATTACATTTATTATAAATACCAGAAATTTTTTGTTCATTCAATTATTTTTTTTTAAATTCTTTGTTAATAGAAAAGTGAACTTGTTGCTTGCAGAGATATGGTGCGATCATTGCTGGATCTTGTTGCTGTGGCCAATTGGTTGATTCAACACCAACATTAATGGTTGGGCCTTGATCCAAAACAGTTGCAAATGCTATATAACCATTTACCGAAAGCTTTAATAAATATTCTTTTCATTAAATCTTTTTCATTTTTTGGCCCATGAAACTGCATTTATTTCATGAAAAATATGCATAATGAAGTTTAATTTAAGCAAGTTTCGAAAGTAAATTAGTAACTTGCTTGATAGTGATTATTTTATTGCTCTTTTCAGAGCTTAAAATTCAAATTTTTTTATTTGATAGAAAATTGCGCACCACAGAATAATTATACAATCCACCATAAAATGGAAAAAACATATGCAAATTGATCGTTTGTCCAGAAGTAAGCATTCCTGGATGAACCTTCTGGTCACCTGCTTCAGGTCCGAATGGTACTAAGTTTACTGAAAGGTAAAATTTATAATAGAATTGACATCAAATTTAGCAATGAGATAGTCTTTATTTTTAATCAAAAAAATTCGAACGGACTTTTCAATGTATTTTTTTAAGTTTTTATATTTTAAAATTACAAATAAAATAATTTTGAAAGTTGATGAACGTACCACCATAGATCGGATTAGTACCATGACCGGTGAATATTTGAGCTCCTTCTTGTCCTGGATTAACATTTTGATGTTGTGCTGCTGGCACCGCATTCTTTTGAGGTATTTGTTGGGTGAAAATAGGTAGTAGTAAACATAACACAGCTATGGAGAAGAAAAATATTTCTAATAACTTCATTCGTAAATTTCCACAAATTCAAACAAACCCTTTTTTCCAGATAGAAAATCAATCGTTCAATCCTTAAAAAACCTTAAATTTGGTCGCAAATAATATTTGAATATTTAAATATTGATAAGACTTCAAAACATAAAATTTTTAAAGCTCACAGAATAAGCCATGTCAAAATCTTAGAGAGTAAATCGAAAAATAACTGCTTCTATTATCAAAAACAGACTGAAATTTTCAAAAGTAATTAATTATTTTAAAATTTATTCACATAACAACTCTAAAACAGGACTACACAGCTAATTATTTAATGAGCTTTAAATTTTTCAATTGTTTGCATTTAATATAACTTTTCAAAACTGTAAATTAAAATGCGAAGAATTGAAACAAACGTTTGGTACCGATATAAATAATGATCAAATACTGATCATGCAATGGTTTGGTATGAGAAAATTCGTTTCGCTAAAAAAATTTATCACAAATTTTTGGAGTTTTGCTGATATATTTTTGCATGATTGATAAAAAAGTTTGAGAGTTAATAACCGAAAAAAGGTAACAACTAAATAATAATGCATCAGTTATATTTGCACCAATGTAATATACTTTTTGAAATAATTCACGAGATGCGATTTGATTTTTTAAAATCTAATATTTAAAAAACTTTACTCGCACTATTTTTTCACTTATGAAAAGATTTAAATACTTCTAAGAATTTTCGATAAATTAAAAAAAATTTTCTCATTGTGTGATAAAAATTTTGCATTTGAAAAATTTTTTAAATTATTTATTAAAAATTATTCGATTTAGTATCAGAAAGAAATAAGTAAAATTAGAGAACAAAAATGCCAAGTTTGCTGCATTATTTACAAATAATTATAGTGTTATTATGTAGAATGTTTAAGGAGCACTAAAAGGTATAGAATATGCAGCGCTTATCATTGATAATGATAATGAATGTGAACCGAATAATTGCTCTCTTTTAGATTTTTCAATCTTTGATCAATTATCAATCTCTATTCTGTTCTGATAATATATTTGAATAAGTTAACAAAAATTTTCTTGCACAAAAAAAATTGATTTGAAAAATAGAAAATGTTTTAAAACAACAATAAACAAAATACTGATTAGTATAGTATTTCAAACATAGATGGTGCTTCGATTGCTGATATAATTTCAATATTTTGTGATTACAAAAAATATTTTACTAATTATTTAAAGTTGAGAATTCAAGAATTTAGAAATTTTGAAAGTAGTTTGAAAAGTAATAATAATTCTGAGTAATATTAAAATTTATTGAATATAAAAATGAGAATTTACTTATTAAAAAGCAATATAACTATTATGCAAATATTATTGCTATTGTTAAATAATTTTCATGTAAATTAATTTTTAAAATTTATCTGATAAAAAAATATTAAAAAATTATTCTTTTTTTCATTTCGTACAGTTGTGGTATTACAATACAATACAAAGTAATGGAACAATGCCAAACGATATTTGTATAAATGTAAGCAAACAAATTTTTTTCAACCTTTTCATCTCTTTTTTTCTTGAAATAAAATTTCGACATTTTATTTGCATACATCATCGTTCTAATAACAAAAAACACATTGTACTTTTGGATAATAATAACAGTACTAATACTTATTAAAAGCTTTGATAAATACCATTTTAGATATTAATGTTTTATAGATTTGAACTGTTAATTGTAGTATTAAAATTAACTTTTATATTAACAACGTAGAAAAACTGACTAGCCGTTACAGACGAAAAAGACATTTTTTACAAACTTTATAACTCTACCGTTTCATTTTTTGTTTATTTTTCTCTTCACTTCTCATCAAATTTTATTTGCAAATTTCATCAAAGAGTATTTAAAGAAAGTAAATTTTTGCTTTACTCAAATTTTTATAATAATTATTTTAAAAAGGCTGAGTTTAATTTGCAGAGTTAAAATAATTGTTAGAGACTTGTCAGCTAAAATTATTTGTTTTTGACAAAAATTTTGAAAGATAAGATGGGTCACTTATTCATCATTATTCTTGCACACTTCTATGTAAATATAAAAATTAGATTACTGCACTTATTGAGAAAATTTTTACATTATGGAATTTATGATTGATAAATGCTTACGCATCAAGTGAATAAAAGAAGTATTAATTCATAATTTTTTCCTTAACATATGAAAATGATCAGAAATAATACATAAATCGTCAATCTTCTTGAGAATAAATAAACCATCATTACTATAAGCATGAGTGATTGATTAATTTATCATTACTATTTGTAATACGCAGAAATGGAAATGTCAGCGCTTTCTAATCCATTTCAAATCACTACGTCAAAAAAAGCCTTCACGAATGGCATTTATAAATAACTGAAACCTGTCATAAAATTAAATGTGGATAGAAAATTTTTACATGAATTATTTCGTCTTCAATAATCAAATCTAACTAGAAGTTAAGAAAAATAGATGCAAAACAAACTTGTCATCAGAGCACCAATAAAATGATTGCCAAAAAATGAATCCAATAATATTAGCTAACTACTTAGTTATTGATTATAGATGCGTATAATCTTACTTAAGTAAACATGACAATTAAAAGAATAGGAGAATATATATGCAAGCAAGCATATATATATTTAATCAAACATAAGTGCAGATTGTTTGTTACTATTAAAGCTGGCAAGTGGTAAATCTCATGCTTAAAGTAGCACAAAATTGATAACGGTAGATAATAAGTAAGCTGATAGTAAATAAAACCGTTCGAAGATTTCTTTGACGTTAGCAGTTGTCCTACAGAGACAAACTGGTTTCAATGAAAAAAAAACAGAGCAATTATTTTGCTGAATTTGTATTCAAAAAACGTATCTACTAGTAAAAATTCTGTTAGTAGATAAGTTTGGTATGAAAATGGCATAACAGTTTAAAAAAAATGGAAATTATGCATTTGATATTCGAAGCTTTGAGAAACGCTAAAAGCTACTAAATAAAGTTGGAGCATTGCTATATTGCTAAAATATCTTTTGATACGTTCACAAATGTATGAATCACTTAAGCAAATATAAAATTTTCGTTTTTATCATAAATGTAAAACCAAATTGAAGTTATCTATCTTTGTATCTTACTTTGTGAATTTTGTCGAATTTTACATTTTATAAAAAAAAAACAGAATAAAACACAATAAAAAAAAGAATATGATAGATATTTTGAAGAATATAAAAAGTTTTGCTTTGATAATTAATTTATATCTATTTATCTAATTTCTCGTGGAGAACGAGTAGTCACAAAGAGTTTGAAGATGTACAATCACCTAAGAAATACTTGGTAAGTTTTTTAAGCTTATTATTTCAGTGTAGTCAGTTGAAGATACTTATGTTTAGCTTGAATAACAAAAAAATGTTAATTTTTGTTCATATTTGCATTTCAGCTGAATTATGAATTTTTGAGAAAGTAATAAACTCAACAGAAAGTTTCAAATAAATGCTCATTGCTTATTTCAACTATCAAAATTTTTAGGGAATATTTAAAAAGAAAAAAGACAAAATTGAAAAGCTGTTCAACAGCAACAAACAATTTTGCTTTCAGAGCAGCTTTACAATTTAAGTACGAGTATTAATAAAATGGAGAAAAATGACATCAAATGTAATGGAATTTTCTGATACTAACATTTTTAGATGAGATACTTATATTCTTACTTGTCTTCTGTCAAATTAAACTGAAAAAAGAAACAGAAACAACTTTTTGCATAATTGTAAAATATAAATTATAGCCTTTTTGTTTTATTAGTAAAGAATCCTCTGCAAAAACTCTAAATTTACTTGATTTTACTTTAAATAATCCTTTAACATTTTTAAATTTAAACTCATTTTGGAAAAATATGACTATATTAAGCATTAGCTTGATTCCACTTTTGAATTCTCTTTAAATCACACCACGACTTTTTATATTAAATTAAAATTAATTTATTTTTGCTAAGCCATTAGAATTAAAAAAATGTTAAATTAAAAAACGTAATTAATAAACTAAAGCAAAGGTGCGAAAAAGAATTACAGAAATTAGTTGTATTAAGCCCTGCAATTAGCCTTCTTTGAAAAAATTAAAAGTTAACATTTTCTCAATTTACTGTAACAATTGAATTGAAAATCTAATCCTCAAAAAAGTTACTATTTTCTCAATTTATTCCATCTTTCTATAACTGAAAATTTTTTACATTCTCACTTCAGCTATTCAAATTTATTGTCATCAAATGATGCCAACTTTACTATATTCACTGAACAGAAATTTTTGCTTTGTTTATGTTCGTTTTTCTCTTCAATTATTATGGTTTTAAATAAAGTTTGTTGCAGGGATATATGCATTGCACAAAAACCCAAGTCACAAATCTAGAAAATTTTTTGGATCTTAATTAGTACATCAAAGATTGATTAACAATAATATAACCGTTTATTCTAAGTCATTAATATCACAAAAACTAGACAATGCAACAATACGAGAGATAAAAGAATATAAAATGATACTGATATCAAATTGAGTTCAAATATCATATTTGTTGTTAAGCAAATGCGTATATAATTCCAATTACTTTTTCAACTTTTCAACGTTAAATTTTAAATTTGCATGAATGTACTACCTTCTTGTAATTATTTAGCATTATTTTTTGGCTTCAGACATTTGATTTAAACAAATTTCGATGCGAATTAGATGTACATGTGTCAACATAACTTCATAATCATCTATAATCATTTTATACCTCAAAAGTATATACTTTCCTAAAATTTATCATAAAATAAAGAATTAAAAAATTATTGAGCGCATTTCAGATTGTAATGCTCACTTCAGCAGCTTCAACCATTCTAATTATTTCACTCTTCAACGATTCCTCAGCAAAAGATGAACGAGCAGCATTCAAACTCTGCAAGTAAATTTGTAACAAGAAATTATTTTTCGTATAGATTCATGACCAATACATCAATAAAAAGCGTTGATTCATTTTTAACTTTTAAAAACTAAGCCTTGAATTAGCCTTTGATTCAAGTTCTAAATAATAAAATTTAACTGCCATGCACTATCTTTTATTTGCAAGCAATCTGAAAGTAAAAATGCAAAAAGCATACACATTGCCAAAGTTGTTGAATGGTTAGACCAATTTCCTCGTGAGCAAGTTGATATTCACTTAACAAATTATTATCAAAACATGTCGGATCATCGGTACTTAATGAAAAATTAATGCCATCCTCTGCGAAGCTGCAAAAAGAAATTTTGATTTTTTATTGAAGCATTTTTTGTATTAAAAACATGCCCTATCTGCTTTTCTTTCAAAGTTTCTACCATATAATTTTTTAAGCAAAATATTTGCCATCGATATTTAAGTTAAAATAAAAATTTAATAGTTTTCAAATTGAAAATCAACTAAAAATGATATGTAATAAGTAATGGTGCAATCAAAGATTAAGAAAGTAAAACCAATTATTAATAGTCAAACCGTTTTACGGGATGTTGGCACCATAAAAGTGGTACAGAACCAGTCATTATAGATGATTGTGGGCATGCTTCAAAATGTATCCGTTTTTCAATTGCATATTTTTTATAAGCATTTTCATCTCGAAGAAGTCTATAACCATGGCCAATTCGTTCTGCACACATTTCTTCAACTGCCTAAATTATAATTTGAAATTTGAAATTTCTAAAAAATGGCTTACAAGTTTGAATTTAATCACATAGGTTTTTATTTCGATAATTTAACGTTTATAATAAGCAAATTTTTGTCATTATATTGCTGTTTTTTTTTCTCAAGGAAATGAATAAACATAAGATGTACTAAAAATCATACTTTTACGACTTCCGTTGAACCACCACTTTCACCAGCATGCACGGTGCGATGAATACCTCGTTTCGCTGCTGTCTAAAATGTACAGTTTTAATTATTACATAACTACTATGTTATATTTCTTGATTAAAAATTTTTTCGTCAGGTATTTTGGAACAAAGTACGATGAAAAATTAACTCCACTAGTCTCAAAGATTTTTCACATTTATTTTTTGTCAGCTTTGATGAAAAAATGTTTTATTAAAGAAAAAATTAATCTTTCGAGTGGATTATTGGAATTTTCTTGCCTGGAAAAGATCTTTAACACCTTGCGGATATTGCTCATCAGCTCCTAACGAGCATCCAGCAATGTCAATAGCAACGACCCCTTCATTTGATAATTTTGTGGCTAAATAATTTCTTCACTAATACATAAAAGATTAATATGAAAGTAAACAAAGTGTAATATAGGAGAAAAAATTTTAAGTTCTAAAAACTAGGTTAAAGAATTTCATTACTACCAAGTTCAAGAATTTCATTATTCCAGTCATGGAATCCATGAATACAGCATAAAATTGAACGTGCTTTCACGCCAAATGCTTTTTCACCACGATCAAAACCTGCTTTTACTGCTCTGATCACATCTTCAGGCTCCAACTTTAAACAAATTCTGCATTTAAAAAACAAATAGAGTTTTCAGTTAACTTATTTGCATTGCAACTTAAATTGATTGCGAAAAAATTTAACTCTTAAATCAACAATTTTTTCAAGGTAAAACAAGTTCAAATTATCTTGTTTATTTTGTTATGAAATAAGAAATAATTAATTTTAAAATAAGTTTTTTCTATCCTATTGATCAAAACGATTTTACAAGTTATAGAAAATATAATTAAATAAGTATTTAATTAATAATGAACGCTATAAGTGATATGGATAAATTAAATGCTGAAAGCATTTTCAATAATTTCAAAAAATAGTTAGGCTTCTTTGAATCAAGTAAATATAGTATAAATTCGAAGCATCACTAAGGTTTCAGATTGAAACTTTAGTTTCATATATATA